AAAGTTACATAGTGCACCTATAGATTCATCCTGTCCATCAGTGTTTTCTCTTTGTGGGTGCTACAGGGTTCCCCCATCAACCCAAACATTAACAGCAAGGTAATCCTTCTGACCAAGATCCAAGCTCGAGATCTGGAGGTTACCCAGGAGCTTAAACATTGTAACACAATTCAAATAAATTCCAGAGATCTGTGAATAATGTAACAGGCCTATTTTGTTGTACTCAAAAATCACAAAACCAAGATGCCACATTTTGACAAAATAAACAGCTCCGCGACACCTCTCTTTTCTTATTGCAGAATCCATTTATTGTTTTCATCACACGTTTTTGTACAAAACAGAGGGATTTTTGCTTGGCGCGGATCAAAGGAATCGTGTCTCCTCAGAGTGGAGATCTGAAGGAGAGCGCTGCTTTGTATTCTCGCGTCAGTCAGCCGCAGTGCGTTTGTTCTCCCGCTAAAACAGGACTTTACAGGGAGTAACACAGCGGAGGTGCTGCCAGTACCAATGAGGGTACCCTGACCTCTTCACGGCCCCCCTCTGCTGCTGCTCTCTACTGGTTTTTAGCCCATTAACACTGGAGTCATACTGTGAACAATGTGATGAACAAACAGTGAACTGGTGGAATTATTCTTGGCACTTCTGCTGCTTTGAATCAAAATGCAAGAAAGGTCAATTCTTTGTTAGACACTAGTAGACATTATATAAAATTTGGGATTAACTTAAATGATACTGAATTCTAAATTTAAGAAATGACAGGTCTTATACTGCATATTAAGAAAGTCTTGGGAGCTTGAGGTCAGCTCAGACAGTGCACATCTGTCAAAGATTACGTAAGATGTTAACACTCAAGTAAAAGAAAAAAATACAGTGGAATGTGTTATAAAACTTGCTCAATCATCATAAACTTTGCTTAAAAATTATTTCTCTCCTTTTGTCTCTAGAGACCATAACTGAGCACAAACAGATGACATACCAGTGCTATCTGTGACTATAGATATGGCTAATGTACACAGCTTTGGACATTTGAACCCAACCTTAAATATAAATAATTAAAAAAAGAAAAAGAAAAGAAAAAAAAAGTTTTGTGCATACATTTTCATCATTTTAAATCAGTTCCTGTACATTGTAAAACATTACAAAACACCTCTTTAGCTAAGTTGAACAAATGCTTAATATTTGGAAAAACAGTCCTTGATCAGATCTCATATATCGACATGACTTATCATTGGTTTGATCGTCACGCAACCGCCACTGACAACTGTTGTAACAAGCAATGCATTGCTTACCCTAGAGTATTGCAAAGGAATCAAACAAACAAATTGCATGTTAACTGAGCGGCTGAAGAAAGCACAGAGTGAGATGTCTAGACTTTAAAGCCCTTAATTTGGCAAGTTCACTCACAGTTCTCAAACATATCCAAATGTCTGCGCTAATCATTGGTGAAGTCAGTAAAAAAAACACAAATCAATACAAAAGATTTACAGTAGTTCACTATGTACAGACAAGGGTAAAAACAGGGCAAAGGGGGGCAGAGCAGTGATGTGCATGTGTGCTTTCATTCGTTTTAAATACATGTGCTCTAGTTCCTGTCTGTGGATGTGTGGCAAGCTACCTTCCAGCACAGTGATGTTAGCGCTGATATCTGAGCTCCACAGTGCACAGAACAACACGCAGGCAGAGACAGAAGTGAGTTGGGGAAAGGGAGTGTGCAAATCAAAATCAGCAAAACTGTCACGCCACATGGAGCGCTCCTGGCATCTGCACCATATGTACACGTCCATAAATAAACAGGCTTCATTCTCCAAGGGAGTCTTCTCAATATGTTCTGGAGAGTTCAAGTCTGGATTAAGCTGAAGAACAGTAGGAACTGAAGGAAAGTAATTAACATTTGTGACTAATGTTAAAAATGCTCTTATTGTTTTAAAATCTGCATCTTTTGCTTAACTGCTCCAGTGGTCCCCAAAACTAGAAATATATGTTTACTGCTGGAGAACTGCAGGAGTTTGATGGGCCGCTCCAAACTGACCACAACTGCAACTTTGCTACATCGCACACAGTAAATCAGAGGAGCCGTGGTCCGTGTAGGGCCCTGTGTGTGACAGTATCAGCACTTTGTCCATTATGAACTAGACCTAAGGTTAGGTTTCATTCTTAAAGGTGCACATTTCTAGTGGAGGGTCCGCAACCTGCTTTTCCTTGGAGATGTTACCTCTTTGCCTTCATTATTTCACAGTATTGAAGTAAATGGATATTGAAGTCTTTGAGTTATAAAACAACTGTAACTGAATAAATGCAAGGCAGATGTGTTTTAAGGCCCTACTGAGGAATATTTCATGCAAAGAAATAACATCTCCATGGAGACAAGCAAGTAGTGAACCCTCAGCCTTGCAGAGAAACCCTTTTTTATCATGTTGCTTGATTGTCTGCACTATCTGCATCACAATGTATATACTGGTACATCCATATAGGCCCAACTAAACTTATTTTTAAACAATGTGTTTTATCTACTTTTATTCGATTGTATCAGTGTTAAGGTCATACTAATGAGTAAACGTTACTGTATACGTAAACTAAAGCTAATTTGGAGTCAGTTCAAACAGTCACATCATCAGCAGCAGCTTTATATGAGTAAGTCTGAGTTTGTTGTTGTGCCCTTTCCCTCTGAAGAGGACTTGCATGGAGGAGCTCTGTGCTTTCAGTACATGGAGGTGTGAAAGCTTGTTAGCAGCTTCTTAGCTTGTCGTGTGCTTCTAATTTTAAATAATAAATAAATATGGTTTCGTACTTAAAAGATCAAAAAAAGAAAGAAAAAGTGCTTCTCTAACACCTAGGGAATGATAAATGATATGTCAGACAGTGGAATCAGACAGAGGTTTGCTGCACGATTCACCCTCGGCAGCAGTTTGTCCTTTTGGTCCCTGTATCACAGAAAACCTCAGTCCAAACTTGAACTTCGTCGTCCACAATGAGTCCTCTCTCCACGTACTCTTCCAAACCACACTCACTCTGTTGCATGATACAAATATTTGTCCAGTGATTGAGTTCATATAAAAAATAACTTATAAAGCACAAATTGCATGTTCATAATGTGTTTCTTCAGTAAAGAGAGTCTACAGTTCTCCTATCGGTTCCCGGCGCGAGTGCTCTAGACCTGAGTGGAGTAGGAGCGGTGCAGCATGGGCTGTGCCCCGTGAGCCGGCTGGTCTAGGCTGCGCTGGAGGTGGAGCGAGCCAGTGTGCGGACACCGAGGCTGCCGGGGAACCGATAGGGCTGATGGTCATGTGATCTCGCTGAACGCAGAGCCCCGCGGAGTCTGCAGGAGAGACAGGAAGTGGCGGGGGAGAGAGGAGAGAAGTAAAGAAAAGAAGAATAATCAAGAGCAATGCACTGGAATGGGGTGGAAACAGAGAGAAAAAACTGAAACAAACAGGACCGAACGGAAAGAAGGCAACAGAGGACGGAGAGGTGAGGGTCAGAGGGGGCCATGGGGGTCAGAGAGGTTAGAATGGCTGAACGTAGGTGTTGTAAGCGGGGGACGAAGTGGACAGGGCGGGATGCTGCAGAGAGGAGAGAGGGAGTGGGACAGAGGAAAAGAAGTGTCAGGAGAGGGTTAGCGACAGACACAGCACGAGACGCTAACACACCTGTAAAGTGTACAATAAAACTTCTGTCAGTACTTTATCTAGCTACAAATACTTATAAGAATACTTATAAGCTTTGACAAATAAAGTCATGCTGAGGGACATTTGTGCTCAGTTTCATTCTGAGACAAAATGAACAAAAATAAGACAATTCAATACGTTATGCACAGAACATGAACTATTTGAAGTAAAAAACAACACATAATCTGGTCTGATTTGAATGCCACTCTTCTTTGTTATATTGCTACATATGACAGGACTTTTTCTTGTATTAGTTTTTGGTTTTTAATGATATTATATTTATTTTTTAACAATTTGTCATTTAACTAAAAAGTTCTAATCCATATGCCATTACTGAGGATAAACCTGGTCCCATGCAGATAACTCACAATTTGACAGTATATCGGCAATAACTGGTTCACAACTTGATTAAATTATATAAACTACACAGCTCTATTGCACATTTCAACACCCTGGTCTCCATTTGTTCAGCATAATGAGGTTCTGACTGGTCCTTCACTTTGGAGGAAATAGTGGATTTAATTCATTTGCGTCACTTGTTCTTTATAAATGAGTGTTTTTTGGAAAGAAAATAAAAAGTGCTAAAGTTCCCTGGTGTTTGATTTGATCTCATCTTGTGTTTTATTTATACCCCAAAATGTGAGATTGATGTGTAAGCCTGTGATGAATGTGACTTATGCAACAAGTGATAAACCACTGTAAAGTTGTCCCATTCATTCAAATTCTTCTTCTTGTGTTTGATCAAACAAAGTTAAAGGCAGGTGAAATTGCCTTTCTGTGCAGTGCCATCCCCTGGTGTCTGCTCATTCATTGGCCTACGTCATCAGAGGTATAATACTCCCTATAATGGAAGCGTTGCCAAAATGGACTGGACTCTACTTGAATGGACAACACAATCACAGTGTCTTAAGTGTTTATGTCTCCAGGCACTGGGTCCTGTACTGTTGGTAAATACTTCTCCTGTGTTAGAACTCCAGCTCTCAGGCTGCTACAATTTATTCTACATCAGTGGGTAAAGGGGTTCTAGTGGAGCTGTGCATTGTCTCTCTGTAGTAGTGCTGTGCAAAAATATCGAAATAACGTTATATCACGTTACTAAATTATTTTGTTACTGTGCTACAGTTTTGTTCCTTGTTTAGTGGAATGAAACTTGTCTATGCAGCACATTAGACATATTCACATATTTTAAAGATTAAAATTGGCATGTTTCATATTAACTTTGCACAAAGAGTGGTTTGACAAAGACTTTTAGTGTCACAGCCATGATTTAGCCTTTATTTTTTACTGAACCACACTAAATCTATTTGAAATGTATCGAATCGAAAGTGCACCGTATCAAGGTATCGTGGCCTATGTATCGAGGTATGTATTGTGTCGGCAACTTCTTAATTATAAACAGACCTTCTCTGTAGTCTTGCGTCGAGCAAATGTGAATCAGTTGGTTCATATTTTTTGATACAAGCGCATAGGCAGTGATCACAGAGCTCATGAAGTTTGATTGGGCTGAGCACGACTGGAAAACTGCTTCAGGAGAAACTAACTAAGCCTAAACTTATGTGCTTACTCCTCCTCAGTGTGACATCACAGTTTACACAAATATTCAGATCCATGCAAAACAGACCAAGAACTGTTTGTGTAAACATTTTTAGACACAAGGATTCATGTGTAGTTTGGAGTTCGGGAGGATTCATGCTTTGGGGTGTGACCGTGTGGGAGACAAAAACACATGTTAACTCCATAATTATTCTGCATCTTACCCGCCCGGCCCTTACCTGAGGACCACTTAACTTTTCAAGAGGACTTTCCACACAGGGCAGTGTCACCATGGGAACCCCCAACATGGAGTCAGGCCGCTGGGGTCGGGCAGGAGGTCCGCTGGCCTGCAAGCGCTGGAAGTTGTTGATCACACATGTCACCTACAAAAAAGACATGGAGAGAATGTCAGTTTTATTATCAAACAAGAGGACAAAACAGAATCATGGATGCATCTGTCTAGAATTTATTTCGTTGTACAAATAGTATGTCAAAGTCTATTGTTGCAGTGGATTTGAGTATTGTAGTGAGTAGACCATTTCTTAGAACTTGTCATTGAGTGACACTGAATAACAAAGCTACAATAATGGGCGATAACTAAATACTAATATCCGTAATCCACTTTACTGAAGAAGAGATAATTGGGCATAGCTACTAAGAGCATTTTGCAAGCCAACATTTTTCGACCATGAAGCAGTTCAAGTGGAACGATTTAAAAGCTCTGCAGTATGACAGCCAGGACAGTACACTGCAATATATTTTAACCCAAGTACCCGCAAGTACTTCAAAAGCAGATGGTGATACCTGTGGACATACGGCAGGGAGAAAAGGGGAGATAAAAATAACGAGCCATTGTACGATTTGGAAGTAAAGACTGCTCTGTATTGTCTTCCAGGTTCATAAAGTCTTAACGTTTGGAAATTCACATGCCCCTGAATCTGCATGGAAGCTATATATTTAACCCAACCAGAACAAAATTGTTCATTGAAGGTATGTGGTCTTTTAAAAACAATCATGCAAGTAATTTACCAGGAAAACTGCGATGGCAGCCCCAGTGAAGAATCCCGCCAGCACATCGGCCCAGTGGTTGCGGTACTCTGCCACTCGGACCACTCCCACCAGCATGGCCAGGCAGAGCAGGGTCAGACTGATGGTGGGCTTGGTCAGCCGGGTGCCTTTGGTCTTGAATACCAGGGTCACATACATCTACAGAGCAGAGAGATAATTACAACACAGAGTCCATTTCATTAGGAAGTACGGTATGTTAAGAAGTTAACTATAGTTGTTGTTTTAATTTGAAGATCTCCTTTTATTTGATATTATTTGATTTGTGCGTACAATTAAAGCAAAAATGTAATTTGCCTATAGTTGTTTGATATCCAAATACATTCAGTACATTCATATTTTTTATTCATTGACCTTTTCTGAAATAATCATAGAGCAAGTCTGCCCAAGCATTACATTTTTACATTCAACAAAAATGCCCAGTACATTAAAAACTTTCCATATTATTTTACATATTTTCCCCCGATGCAGAAAAATGGCAGTACTCTTTCTTTCTGTCAACTCTATTTTTTTCAAACCAGATAAAAGTTATTTCAAGTTTCTTCCTGTTTTACAAATATTAATAAAATGTAAATTTGTAAATGCTGAATAAATTAGAGGTCCCAAATTAATCAACATGTCATCTGATCAGCAGAGGTTCATTCATGTCAACTCTGAGGTGCAAAAATTCATTGGGTTAATGGGGGGTAATCATCTGGCAACTTTTTGCTATTGAAAGTGGTCACGCTATCATCAGTAGTTACCTTATCTAATTATCCTTTAAAGTTTAAACTCTTACTTTTTTTAGTCCATGGGGAAAATGCATAGGATTTTTTTTACTTTTGCAGCCAGAAACCCCTACAACACACTGGACTCACCACTGTATACACGGCGGAGTAGACACTGAGCGCCGCGTCCTTGGAGGGGAAGGACTTGCGAGCGGACATGACGACGAGCGGGTTGCCAGTGCAGGCGCGGCGCTCTGTGATGTACTGCAGTGTTGACTGGCAACCCAGAGCTGTGTAGTTGGGCCGGCACGCGGACAGGAAGTGTGGGGTCTGGTTTCCTGTTACCACCTGACCCGCGTTGGCGAAGATGGTGGTGGTGAAGAGTCCAAAAGCGTAGACGCCTGGATGAGATGTCAGCCAGCACAATGTGTCAGAACATGTGAAAGTAGTTTTAGTAACGCTACTTGAAAAAACCTCAACACATTCTTATTATTAGCACAAGTGCGAAGCTGAGACAGATATCTTCACCTCATGTTTTTATGCAAAATTGTCAGCTATTAAATTTTCACATCACAATATCTCTGCTCTGAGATTGTACTGTTAAAATCTAATTAACAGTGTCTCAAATAAAGCAAGTTGCATTCTTAACATGAACTGATTTTACACTCAACTCCAAAAACAGCTAGCACCCAACTAGGTCTGTCACGATTATTATGATATCAGCTTTAATATATGATAGATAAAACAAGAGAGAGGGCGTTCAGTATTAATGATTATTGTCGTGATATTGTCTATAGCAAAATGTTGCAGTTCAAAATGTATGGTTCACCGAGGAAGCGGATGATGCGTCGAAGGAGCGGGTTGAAGTAGCAGCAGTCAGCAGTGACAATGGTCTTCTCCTGAGTCCCTTCTGCTTTAGTGAAGAAGACACAGAGTTCTCCAGCCAGGATCTGAACACAAGCACAAGCACAAAAGCAAGAATGAGAAGAGATTCACTTAGTACAAATATGAAAAATGGCCATGCTCACTGCTTCTAATATGTACAATTTCAAAACTCAATAGCTATACTTAGATTTTTATTACCATTACCATTGTGGTATTAAGATTAAGATTTTGATTTCAAGATTTTGATGCCACAGTGGTAGCGGTAAAAACACATTTTTAAGACCACATAACCAAAATCTAACACTAGATAATAGGGTTGGGTGATTTTGCATGAAAATATATTTATTTTCAATTTAACTTTAATTTTTTTCCCCCTCTCCAAAAATGTTCTGCACACTACTGAAAATGGTAAAAAGTGAAAAGATTGTATTCAGTGGTCATATTTAACCCACTGGGGAAATTTTTTACGAATGAGATAAAACAAACTATTGCATTAAACATGCACCACCAACATTAAATTTGGTGTCACTGATTTCAAAGTATCAGTGCTGTAGGGCCCTGTGCTAAACTTTGGCCCCTGTGGCTGCTGTACGCAACCTTTCTTGCATTTTCAATTCAATTTTCAAAGCAAGAACGTGGTGAAAATAAAAGTCTATATTCTTAATATGTGGCCAAGAACTAGTCCAGATTCTTTTGATGATGAGTATTGCTCAAGTTCAGTTTTGGTTTGGTTTGGTTTTAGTATTCAATGCATCTGTACATTTTGACAAAGCCGTTCTAGAGACCTTTCATCCTATTGCACAAAATCATAAGGTGTTGCCAAAAGGTGGGTTAACTTTTTTTGCCCAAAGACACAAATTTATCTTACACTCACTCACTGCTTCAATTCATTACTAACAATAAAAATACCAGCAGTAATCGTCACATTTCTGTATGCTTGAAAGTGACACAAGACAGCATAATCCAGTAATCCCAAAGGCTTTAAAATAGTTTAGCTCAACACATGAAGAGGATTAAAGACAAAATGTGATGTAAAATGTAAGCCCTGAAGCAGCTGTCTGACAAAAAGGCAATTTAAAGTTTTTTCAAATTCAAAAAGCAGCACAAAGCAAAATGCATGTGATGTTAATGTCTCATCAGGAAGATTTGTTCTAAAATGTGAACCTCCTAATTTTCAAGTAATAGTACCTGGTCATTAACAGGAGCAGACAATAAAGGCACAATTACTGACTCACTTTGGGGGAAAAAGGTTTTGCTTAGTTGTTAGGTTAGTTTGGTTAGTTAAAATGTAAATAAAAATTTGTCCCTCCCTGTACAAATATACTGTGAAAGCAGCCTTTGGGTTCAAAATAAGGCTGTGTGCCATCTGTATGTAATTATAAACCATTTTTATCATCTGTGAACCAGGAAGTAAACTGGAGTGATGTTAGCAAGGTAGTTGTTGTTTTGAGAAATGCACTTATAAAATCATTACAGTGACTAACAAGGACGCAAGAGAGTTAGGAAAGTGAGGAATGGGTTTGGACGTCTGCAGACAGTTTAAAATGAACTCTTTCAACTCAAAATGCATGTGAAATAGTAGATCATTCTGTTTTTCTCAGTGGTAGGCCTTTGAAATGTAATGTAAAACTGATTACAACAATTCTAGTACTAGAGATGTCTGGCAGATGATAAATGACAAAGAATTAGCTGGAGCTCTGGAGGTGGTCCATCTCCTGTGTATATTTTCACTCACAACTTTGTATTTATCACTAATGAGCTGAGTGGCAAAAGCACACCTAATGCACCTTAATCATTCAGACAGCGAGAGTCACAGAGATTTTGAATGAGAGAAAGCAGGGAAATGCTGTTGTAGCGCTGGGAGGGTAATTGTTCTCCTCATGGATTCGAGTTCTTCGTCTCCCCTTGGTTCTTAATGGACTGCAGCTGCGCGAGGGGCTTCAGAAGTAAAGACTTAAAAGAAGAGAGTGTCATGGTGAATAACAAACAGTGACAGACGAAAGGTGTAGAAGAATCAAACACTGAGGGACTCCACACCTGACGTGCCACTTCACAGTTTCGATCGACTTTGGAGTTCCTTTGAGTGTGACTCCTGGTGTGCCGTCTAGTCCTTTATTCTGAATATCTACCAGGGTAGTTTTTCACAAGTTTATATGTATTAACTTGTTGGAAGGTATTTCTGGTTGGTTTCAATTAAGGATGTCAAGATAATTTGCTCAGTCAGCCATGATTTTTAAGGTGGTATTCCAGTATCAATTGAAGGAGTTCAAGTATCTCGTAGTCCTGTTCATGAGGGGAGGATGGAGCGTGAGACTGATAGGTGGATCAGTGCAGTGGCTGCAGTGATAAGGTCGCTGTATCGAACCGTTGTGGTGAAGAGGGTGGCTGGGCACTGCCTTAAAGATAGGGTGAGGAGCTCAGTCACACAGAAGGAGCTTGGAGTAGAGCTGCTGCTCCTCCATGTCGAGAGGAGCTAGGAGGCATCGGTTCTTGATACCTCCTGGACGCCTTCCTCGGGAGGTGTTCTGGGCATGTCCCACCAGGAGGAGGCCCCAGAGAAGACCCAGGACACACTGGAGGGACTATGTCTCTCGGATGGCCTGGGAACGCCTCGGGGTTTCTCTGGAGGAGCTGGAGAAAGTGTCTGCCCAAATGACCTGGCCCCAGATAAGCGAAAGAAAATGGATGGATTGATATTTCGGTACATAATAGTAAAAACTAAAAAAGTAACAGAAGCCAAACTAAGTAATTTAAATTCAATTTATGCCCCAACAAAGTTAACATCAGTTTTTTTTCCCCTTTATATTTATGCCTCATTAACCTGATTTTATATAGTCTCATACTCTAGAGACTAGTATTGTATTAGGCAATGATAATGAACAAAAAGGATTTTTGGATAATTGTACATAGTCGTTATTGTCTTTGCTTAAACTAAACTAAAATACATTTCTGCTGGTCCAATTATAAGGGTCAAACTTTGTACTTGTTAGTTCACAACATTTTGTGTCAAAGTCAGTTTCACATGCCCTTCACCTCTACAGGTTGTACAAATAATAATGCCACTTCTCCACCCGATCACCACCTCAGCAGAACAACATCTCTCCTCCATCACCAAGGGTCTCACCACCATCTTAACACAACTTTATCTCACCAGTCCTAATTTTCTTCCTGCTCAATTCGTTTATATTACAAAACACATTTCCCCATCATCCATTGCATTATTAATTCCTTTACCCATGTGCTTGTGTATATATATAGCTCTAAAGCCCTTGGCCATGGTGCACTGCTTAAATGCTTTAATATGAGCCAGGGGCCAGTCAGTGCTGCAGTTTTGTGGAGTACGTGCCCGCTCCACTGCTTTCTCCCATTAGTAACACACAAACCCCACTAGGTATCAGAGCCTCCATCTCGGGCCTAAAACACGTGTGAAATCTCTACTGCTCTTGCTTCACAACGCCGGTTTAGGGCCTGCTAAACCTGTGAACAAACATTTAGCAGGCAATTAAGTGAGCTTATGGCTGCAGTTTCCATGGAGATGTGATGTGCACAGGGATGGTGTTAAGCCCAAAGAGTGGAATAATGGTAGTGGTAGTGGTAGTGCGCTGTCAGTTTTGGACAAGTGCTCTTGAACATTGCATTGAGCAAGGTGCTTCATTTAAGTGGATGTGGAGGTTTGTAATAATAATACAACCACCATTGAAATCATTGTGTTTGTTTAAGTTACAAAATGTCTCTAACAATTTTAGGGAATATTCATTTGACACAGATTTCTATGCCAGATGCCCTTTTTGAACTCCTTCATAACAGGATTTGCAGCCAGCAGCCTAGAATCAACTCCTTCTGCAAGTACTAAGACTGATTTGGGCTGGAAGGCACTAAAAAGTTGTGTTACATTATGTTGGTTCCTAATCTACAATATCCAAAGTTGTATGCAGTTTATTGTACGCATAATTCTCTACACATAGTCCGTCTCCTCATCTAGAGCTAAAAATGAATTAGTCCAGAAGTGTTCCTCTGTATTTTCGTACATATTCCCCACCAGCTCTGAAATTAGCTCCACATTATCCATATTAAAACTTCAGTTGCAACAAGACCCCACACTGATACTGAGGAGACTGGCTGTGACAAGCAACGTCTAACACTAGATATTATGTCCATCAGAACTAACGAACAAAGGAAAAGTTAGTTACTTAAAAAAAAAAAAGATAATGAGAGAAACAGTGGGGAAACGGCTGCTTAGCCTGAAATGAAGCGACAGACTGCTTGTGTGCCGAGCTAACCCTGTTATATTATTAACCATTTAATGAAAATCCCACTCACAAGAACAAAACACCTTGGAAGAGAGTTGTGATTAAAGTTGAAAATTACTGCAAGATTAAAAGAGCGGCATATGATTTTTAAAAATGTGGAAAAACAGAACTAGTTCATTTTAAATGGAGTGAAGTTGTTCCTCAATTACCTTATGCATTTTCAGCATAATTCTTCATGGCAATTTTTATGAGTTTATAAGATAGAGGTGTAACGATATCCAAGTCTCACCATACAATATCGTCAGGGTATGAACTTCACGATATGATATTTACTCCGATATTGTGGGAAAGCTCACGATTAGAGATGTAACAATATCTAAATCTCTCTGTATATTTTCACGATATACATCTCACGGTATGATATTTACTGCCATATTTTGTGAAGTCTAACAAACCTGCTATTGTTTTTCCTCTTAAAATGCCTTGACAAGATTTAATCCAAGAACTAAAACTTAAAAGTGCTTAGAACTGTTATTTCTTCAAGTAGTCTACAATGAAATGGAGCAAAGGATCATGGTCTATGTAGTTCCCTCTGTCTTTTTTTTAGCTATTGCTTCACCATAACTCTTAATTTAAGCAGAGACTTGTAATTCGATATATTGTGATGGTCCATGATATTATTGTGATAAGATGTCACGATATTTCGGTTAATGTTACATATAAGAGCTTTTTAGAGATTAGAGAGGAGTTTTGCTGTGCTGGTGAGGCTAACAACAACTGGGATGCTGACACACACCCTGATTATCGCAGATATT